TTTGGAAAAAAAGCTGCTTCGGTACTTTGCTCATTGTGCCCTCGACGTGTTAACACAGCCCGGGCAACTTGTTCCCCCAGCTCAAATTTAATTACAGCTCAGTATGCTGGGGATTATGCAAAGTAAGTCAACATTAGACGAGTGACACGGGGGGGTTGTCTCCTGAGGTGTATTTGGGATGGCTTTTACGAATGATTATTCATCATTACTTTTTTATAATGAATTAAGAGCAAAATCTTACCACACATGGTTACCTGTTTGGTGTGGAGAAACATTATTTGACAATATTTTATTCCCTTATTCTCAGTAACAACATCATAGCAATACTTTCTAAACACCAAATGTAAAGCTTCTACGCTTCATCATCATCTTTGGCTTTCCCAAATAATTTGAAGGCATTGTAATCTTAGTGTATGTAAACTTCCAACTTTAAAGAAACTAATTTTTAAAAAATCTCAAAAAAAAATCTCGTTATTCTGGCATTTCTTTATACCAATAATTTTGGTAATCCTAACTGACCTAAAATAGGAAACATTTAGTCACATTTACTGTCAGATAGTGAGAAAAAAAGGTTCTGTGTCTTTTTATACAGCGTATGTAAACTTCTGGTTTCAACTGTAATCACAAAAAAGAAACTTAAAAAAAAAAGTGCAACAGTCTGTTGCCAAATTTTAGTACAATAAGAGTTGTTATGTAAAAATGTGGTGCAACAGCACTGCACAATATGAAAGGATAAGATGTTTTAGTGTAAAGCCAACCAGCTAATACAGATGCAAACTGGATGAGGATTTAAAAAAAGAAAAGAAAAGAAAAAAGAGCACTGGCATTGTGACAACTGTGAGCAGATGATCCATTTTAGATATGATTATGTAAGCCTCTTAGACAACAGAGTAACGGTAAATCCTAAAGTCTTTCAACTGACATCTGTGGAAAACACATCTTCTTTTTTTTATCAGTATGAAAAGTTATTTGTACAGAGATTAAAAAAACAAACAAAAAAAACTGTCGGATGGGGACAGCATGAGGTACACTTGGAGAAAAAACATCCTGCAAGTGTAATCTGCATATCTATTGTATTGCAACTGTGTGCTCAGCAACAGAAACCTTTTGTAAGCTGTCCTTAAAGGTTACCTATCACAGACGAAGCTATTATTTGGGTTATATTATATATATTAATACATTGCAGCTGAGCTATTTGTAGCTTTGATCAAAACAATTAAGTGAATATTTCAGTCCACCTGTCGTATCCCGCCCACTGCTACAATAAAAAGATGCTGTTGGCAGACACACACACACACACACACACACACAGCGAGTAACTGCAGGACGTTACCTAACACAAGGCAAAAAACAAATAGTACGAGTTCACCGTATTTTGTAGAGACTGTCCTTTGAGAAATGAACTGAGACTGGATTTCAACATGTGCAGACAGAGAAGAAACAAGAAAAGAGACACTCAGAACTATCAGCAGATTTATAGCACTTAGTGAACTGTAATGATCTATTTTTCCTCATATGAGTAATTGTTTTTTTTTGTTGTTTTTTTTTGTGCAGGACACTGGTTTCACCTTCAACAAACTAGACCACTGAGCTGCGGTATGAGTTACCCTCCAATACTAAACTGACAGCCCTTTTTTCCCCCCAGTGTTACAGGTCCTGTTTGATAAGCTAAGCTCAGTCTCTAAATCCTGTCTTAACTGCAGCACCCTATTAAAAATAGCAGGAAGCTAAGAAGTTAGAAGCTCTATATTAAGACATTAATTATGAAGTGCCTGTCTGTCTGGAGCACCAGACTGTGCTGGGTACATATTTCAACTGTGAAAGAAAAATCAAGGTGTCAAACGTCTATGACAAACCAATAAAAGCAGGAAATATGCAGCTTATCAAGCAGGCTGCCTTCTGATTTTCTATCAGCAGTGAGTGGGGAGAGATGTGAGGTCAGGAAACGAATGAAAGTAACAATTTGCAGATCATTTCTAAAGCCTTTCTTGAGGCTAACGGTGATATACCTCTCACCTACACAGCTTTAAGTAATCTCCTGCACATAGGCCAGCTGACTGATATTATCTGGCTGGAGGAATAAAAAAAACAACAACCTGCGAATCAAACTCCTGAACTTCATTGACACACTGTACATGATTGATTTTCTTCATGTTTGGATTTTCATATTGGATTACCATGACATCCCTGCCCTTTTCCTGAGGGGGAAACTATAGAAATAAGTCAATATTCCTGTTGATTCAACGACAATTAATACCCATAGTTTATCAGTGGCCTTCTGGATCACTAAAAACACAGCTGCAGCATGTACACAGCCACATGCATTCAGCACACAAGCCTATATGTGCACGTCTGTTTGTTTATGTGCATATGCATCAGCAGCACTGGCATTGATTACCGTTATATTTCTGCAGATAATTGGCATTGGCATTTTCCCTTTCTGTCCAGGGGCTTCTGGTATGGTAATAAGCTCGTTCAGCGGCGGCTGCACAATGCACAGAATCTCGTGGCTGTGTTTTGCATTTTGAACGCACCCTCAGACTGCTTCCAAGAGGATGATGGACAACTGTCGCTCTCTTCAAAGCAAATATTTCCTGGACTGAGGCAGTCCATGAACAATCTGTTTTTGTATGGAAACCCTTCTCTCTAATTATGCAGTTCTCATTATCATCACATATAATAAGATCAGGCAAGAAACTTCAGCACCCTGAATATGCTGAATGAAGTGACTATTTCTATGTAAATTGTAAAATGTTGGTTTTCAAGGGATTGTCTGCTTTATGAGATTTTCAGTTTGTATACATAAGTTACTTATAAAAATAACTTACTTGCAGAAAAGGATTCTACTTTCTCATGCTACAGCCGTCTACAGTCGATATGTTACCATAATAGTTGTTCCCCTTTGTTCTTTCTCCAGCTTACTACATCCTTCTTTTCATTTGAGTTATTTTCTGGGGAAGTCTCACCACTGAATTCCCAGAGCTGTGTGCCTGTGTGTCTGCACTGTAACTCTGAGTCATCATAATACGTCTGACCCCATTCTCTTTGCCAGTTGTCACTGCGCCGCCTACACAGCATCACCCTCTCTTTCTTTCTTCTTTCTTTCTACAGCACCAAGAGTAACCCTCACATCGGCAGAATCCCTAAAACACGAAATTTTTAAAAATCTTCAGTGATTTATATGATTTTTTTGCGTGTGTAAATGTTATTTACAGATTTCATGCATGCGACAAAATAATCTAAAAAAAAAAAAAAAAACGCGCAAGCTATCAGGGGCTTCGTGTGCTTCTCGCAGCCTTTTCCACCAAATGGAGCCGGCTCAGTTTTCATCACGTGGCCTCTGTGTGGAACTTCAGTCATATCTGGCTTCTTTGATCCTTCTCTGCCCGTTCACTGACTCCTGTTTGATGACCTTTTACCTTTATTCAGTGGATCTCACTCGATGTTCTTACCACCCACAGTCACATAAGAGAGTTCAACTGGATATTTCTGGTGTTTTTTCTTTTTTTTTTGTTGCTGATTTAGCTGTGCCCTACCAAACTGTGACGGGATTCTCATCATCCTGTCTTTAAAACAAATAGTTAACTATAAATATAAAATATTAAAGATGTATTTTTGAGTGCCCATTTCTTAGAAATGCAGAAAAGTTGCTTACTAAAACACCACATACATATTCGTTAGGGGTGTAAAGATTCACGAACCGGAAATCGATTTTTACTTTAATGATATGAACACATCAATCGACGGGGCCTCTAGATCAATCTATACCTACTGTGGAGCGGTTGATGTCTGCTTGTAATGTTATTAATCGGTTGATTGGAGCTAGGGTGAGGGATAAAGACAATGACATTGTTCTGACTTGATACTTAAATTTTTTTCACCAAACAAATAGATTCATCACATCGAATCGCATCGTAATGTATTAAAATGTATTGATAGTGAATCGTATCGTAACCCATGTATCTAGATTTGTATCGGATTGCCTTGTAACTTCGAGATGCACACCACTAATATTTGCTTTTGAACTGATCATTTTATTGCTGTGAATTATATTGGATTGTATGACTGAACAACTTCTTGTCCACACCAGGATGCTTATATTTTCATTGAATCAACACAATCAGACTTGAATAGATTCAGCAAGTGTACAGTCTATCCTACTCCTGTAATAAGTGTTCATCTGCCCGTCCATCTCCAGCTATTCAGATATGTAGTCATTCAACGCCAGAACGAAGCTGAGCAACTCTTGCAGTCTGGTTCATGCTTTCTGTTTGGATTGATGAGATCAGAGAACAGCTTGACGTGGCTGACCTCGATAGTCAACATTTTCACACTTTCATAAAAATGGTGCTTCTGAAAATGACTCTGCTTCGATGACAAAATGCTGAAATGCTGCCACTGTGGCCAAACAATTCAGTCATTTGACACACTGCTTTTAGTTCAGAATTAACCAGGCTCAAACACTTGGCTTAGGTTTTATGTTTGCTGTTTTGCAAAGAAACATGTTAAAGCATTTGCTGAATGAACTAAATCAGGCATGTCTACTAAAGCCACACAGTGACCTGACTTTTGTTTGTTTTTTGTCAAAGTTATATTATTGTGATACAGCTTAAAGCACAAGCAGATTCAGAGGAGCAGTTTGTTCTACCTGCAACATCCAGGGCAGATAACTGACTTCCAGACAGCAGAGCACACACATACTGAAATAACTAAAGCTATTCCTGAGTTTACCCAGCAAAGAGATACGATGCATCCATTTCAATTGATTTGAACAGGCGCCGTAAAAATGTCAGTGCGCCTCTGGTGGATGTTTGCGCCTTTCTGTTGTCATTTACGGTAAAGGTTAGGTATTTGGTGTGAATGCCTGTCAGTTATTAGCACTAAAGAGACCTTGAATCTTTATTATAATGCAGCTTTTTAACTGAATATTTTTTGTATTTACAAACAAAACTTCTAAAATACCACTGAAAACTGTAAAAAGATATATTTAAGTACAAAAACTTGAACTACATGGATGACGTGTATGTGTAGGTCCTTCGGTCTTCCGGGTGTGTATAAACAGATCGCAGACGGAGCCGCCTCGCCCAAAACATGTAAGGTTTAGCCCTTTTTTCGTGTTATTTTTCAATGAATATATTTCGTGTTTATTAGCCGGAATCAATATGTTCGTAACGGTGTTTTCGTCTTCTTCCTTAGGTCTAAAGTAACGTTTAAAATCACCCTGACGTCGGACCCCCGGCTGCCATACAAAGTGTGAGTCCACTGACAGCTCAGCACTCACGGCTCTAACGGTGCATTCAGCTGCATTTTAAGGGTTATTTAACAAATTATTAAACCTTTTGTCCCGCTGATGTTATATATTTCTTCATTTCAGTGTGTTGTGACAGTGGTAGCTGTCGTATTTAACCTAAGCAGCGTTATATATGGTCAGTAAGAGAACATCTGCCAATGTAAAGCTGTGATTCACATGCTGACACTAAAGACGCCAGATAACTGCGCCGTTTAATCACAGTTAACTTCCCGTTTATATAGTATGGCATTACAGCACTTTGTGAGCTCCAGTATGAATAAATTGGACCTGACAGAAAGGAATCTGCAGGGCATCTTCAATGAAAATATCATCTTTGAAGTCATGTGTTAAACTATGAGGCAGCTTTTGGGTCGTATGACAGAACCACAGCCTTGACATTCATACATCACTGTAGCTGAAGTAACAGACAGGAGAGGAGCAAAAGCAGATTTTTTTTTTTAATAATCACGACTAAATTAAAGCTAGATTAAGCTGCTAGCCACATCGTTGTGGCTATGGTATGTGGTCTAACATTATGTTATGTGGTTCAGTTTTATTTACATGGCACCAAATCATTGTATGTGCCATTTCCAGGTACTTTAAATAGTAAGGTCAAAGAACGTGCAGTGTTACACAGGGAAACCAAGCATTCACCTCGTGATCAAGCACTTGATGACAGCAGGCTCAGTAGGGGTTCAAAACACAGACATCAATACAATCAGTGGGTGGTCATCCTGTTTATATAATAGGACCCATCATTTCCAGACGTGCCACTGTGTGCAAAGGATAATCCATGTCTCTGTTTTGTTGTGTCACAAACAAGCACAGGCATGTTTTAAGACAAACATTAAGCATGGCAGGGGGGGAATCAATGTAGTTTTTCCACAAAACATTTAATGACTTCCTTCCATCTGTTTGTTCAGTCTGATTAACCATTTCCTAACTGGATAAATAGTTAGGAGATAATATGTGTCTGATAATTTGTTGTTTGCATATCACTCTTTGTGAGTTAGATGTTGCTCCACAAATGGCAAGTCAATTCACTTAATTTAAATTCAGGGAACTTTACACAGTAAAACTTAACAATATTACATTACAGATAGAAGCTCAGTGATTCTCTTTGAGCAGCACTTGGTGACAATGGGAAGAAGAGACATCCTTGTATCAGGAAGGAACCTCCAGCAGAAACAGGCTGCCTCGACCATTCAGGATGAGGAGAGAGGGGAGACAGAAAAACCTAACTTAAAAACAAAAAAGAGAGCACTAAACCCTGGGCAGGTTTGTGGTCAGTAACCGCAAATCTAAAATGTACAGATCCAGAGCCAGAAACAACTGCAGAGAGTTACAGGAAGAGACAAGACAGAGAGGAGAGGAATGGTTCAGGGTAATCTGAGCCAATCCTGACTAGAGATTGATTAATTACTGGCCTGGCAGATTATTGGATTCAATATTCAGCATTTTTCCAATCATTGGTAAAGCCATTTTTAAAAATGATTCCCCATACGACAAAGTAATTTTAAAATGTACCACAGTGACTCTACCAGAGCCATCTGTCTCTATCTGTAGTCACTCTGTGGTTTCGAGCAATTTCCTGCCTGATTGGTTGGGTAACAGCCTGTCAACACTGAAGGATGGATGTGGAGTTCTCTTCTCTTAAACATGTGGAAAACATAAATGAACAACGGAGTTTGAGTAAAATGGTATTGTTGGCATTTGTGTTAGCTTTGACACAAAGATTTTCATCTTTACTGCAAATGTATGTCACTTCCAATTATTGGTTATTGGTCTCCCTAATTAATAAGGATTGGTTTTGATACTAACCCTGAAAAAAATAATGTAGTTGGTCTCTAGTCCTAACTATATAAGCACTCTAAAAGTCTTAAATCTACAGTCAAAAAATAAGTCATAATAAGTACACCTAGTAGAAATTGTTAGCTTTTTTATATGACATATCTTGACAAGCAAACATTTGATCTTCTGTGATTCAGTGCCTACATTTAAAGATGATCTACTTGAAAACAACATTTCAGTGGATTTAAAATCTCACATTTGACTAGCCCATTCCATATTTCTCCATTTCTTCGTTTTGATTAATTCCCATGTGGATTTGCTTGTGGGCTAAGGATCAGTGTCCTGTTGAAAGGGCCACTTCTGGTTTAGATTAACATTTTGGACATGTGGCCTCACATTATCTTCAAGTACTTTTAAGTATGCAGAATTGGTAGTTGTATCAATGACTGTGACGCCAATAAGTACCCCTTTGTCCTTAGCATAGTAAATACAGTCTGGGAATGAACCATGTTGTTGCAGAAAACTACTTTATCTGCCATAAGTTAAACAAATATTGACATAGAGTGATAAAAACCATCCGCAAAGTGTCTTTTCTGCAGACATTTTTGCCATTTTATGCATCGGTCAGAATTTTCTAACACAGCTTCAAGTAAGCGATTGCAAATAATTACCACCGTGCAGACTACTGTAACCTTAACACGTTGACAGGTAGCTGTTTCACTAATGAGGTCAGACAAGCCTCACTGGAGTTGTTAATGTCTTAACACGGACAGAGGGATAATAATGATAATGAAGTATCGCATTAGTTCTGTCAGAGTAGATTTGAGCTCATAATCAGTCTGTTCAGTCACATTAAAAAAAAAAAAAAAGTTACCACTCACTCCTAAGAACTAAGGCGTTATGCTGGTCTTCATAATATGACAAGTCATAAAGCTCAAGCTTAGGTTTATGCCTCGCTCCTCTCTCTGCTTCTGCTCCAGCACTGACTGCCACGATTGAGTTTGCCCTCCACCACCTCAGTTCCCTCTGCGTTACCTTACTTGGCAATTGCATTTGCAGCCTTGTGATTTTTTATTTATTTTTTTTTAATCTTACATCTCAGTGAAATGCATCTGTTGGTTTGTGTTTTGGGAGGTCCCTGCTCCCCTCTAAACACCGCACTGCAGGATTTATTGGAGAAGCATCCAACTGAAACCACGTTGTGTGGGGCTGTTTATGCCACAAATGGTTTTGTACCCTCTAACTGAAATGACTCCAACGGAAGTAATGTTACACCCAATTTTCTTTTTGTTTGCTTGCTTCCATGGGAGTCAAAATATACTGCCAGCTCCGAAATAGTACTTCTGAGGCTGTTACGGTGTAAATGACTGAAACACTCAAGCAGCCATGTGCTTGTCAATTGAAAATCTGGTCACTTGGCAGAGAGATAGTCTTCATTCATGTAGTCTTCCTGCTTGAAAAAGTAGGACATTTTAGAAATAAAGTCTGGATTTTATGGTGTTTTTAAAATCCTGTTTATTGTTTGTTGCAGTCTAAGTGTCCCAGAGAGCACACCGTTCACGGCAGTTTTGAAGTTTGCAGCTGAGGAGGTAAGCTTACTGTTTAAAATCTTCCATAAGTGCATATGAATATACACCCATCAGCCATAACAATAAAAGCAATGACACGTGAAGTGAATAACAGTAATTATCTTAATGCTGCTGTGATAGAAAGGTGTCAGAACACACAGTACATCACAGCTTGCTGCATGTAGGGCTGCGTAGCTGTGAAACAGTTAGTGCCCATTGTTAGCCCTGTAAACCACTCCAAAGCACCATGGATACGTGAGCGTCAGAACCATGGCTATGGAAGGAGGTGGCCTGGTGATGAATCATGGTGATGGCCGGGTGCACGTGTACCATTTACCTGGATAAGAGATGGCAGCAGAATGCACCATTTGAAGAATGCAAGCCAATGAAGGCAATGTGATGTTCTAGAGAATGTTCTTCTTGGAAACCGTAGCTCTTGGAATTCATGTGGGTGTTACTTTGACACATACCACTTGCCTAAACGTTATTTCCGACCATACACACCCCCTTCATGGCAGCAGCCTTCTCTTTCAGCAGGAAAATGCACACCCTGTAAAAGCTGTTCAGGAATAGTTGGAAGAACATTGACTTGACCTCCAGATTCCCCAGATCTCAGTCCGGCAGGCCTTAATTGATCTACTGCTAAGGTGTCAGTGCCTGATACCAGAGGACACCTTCAGCAGTCTGTGGAGTTCATGCCTTGATGGGTTAAAGCTGTTGATGCAGAACAACGAGGACATACACAATATCAAGCATTTAATGTTGTGGCTGATCGGTGTACGGTACCTGTGGAAATATGCTTGAGATAATTTGCGATTACATGACATGACATCTCTCCTCAAAAAGCACTGACACGTTTGTTTTTCAACATTAAACTCTGACAAACCTTCTAAACAAAAATCAGCTTTGGTCAGTCACAAGGTGGAAATCATATGTTTTTTTTTTGTTTGTTTGTTTTTTTAAATCAAATATTGGTATGGCTCACTACGCTTGATAATTAGGCAGACACAGTTTCATTACCATTATTAAACCAAAACAAAGTCTCAGTGCTGTGAGTGTTTTGGACATCGAATGTGATTTTACTATATTTTTTTTCATTCATCCACCTGACAAATGTCTCCACTTTAATTTCATCAGTACATTTGTCTGCACAAGCTGCATAATGTCTCTCACACACTTTAAACATGCAACTGTAACCCAGAACCTAATTTTTTAAGCTTTGAAGTCTATTTTCTTCCATTTAATGCGTGTAAACACACACAGCAGTGCTGTGGCTGAAAGCATCAGGATGGAGCACCAAAGCTGCTGCTGAGGTGCTGATGTGATGCTTTTACAATGTGTTGACGGGGTGCTAATTTGATTCTCTTATAAACCGGCATACTAAAGCACCACCATTTTCACATCCTGCTTTGCATACAACAGACTTAGCCCTCTCAGTTGGGTAGTATTTAAAAGGAAAATTGTTCAAAAATAATTTGTTTTGCACAGAATCGCTGTGTGTTGTTCATAGATTTAAGCGTGATTGATGGAGAGACAAAAAAATGACAAGATTAATCACAAAAGCCTTTCCTTTAAGACATCACTGACAGTGCAAATGGTTGTATTTAACAGGGGATGGTTTCCATAAGCGATGTTTTAATTACAATAAATCATTCCTTTCTGAACTAAACTGTATTTAATGTGTGTTGCTTGTGCTACCTAGCAGTAGTTTGATGAGCTGTACTTATATCTCCCTGGTGACAGACTGCTCCCTACATCTTTTCTCTGCAAATCCCACCAGCCCACATCCTCTTCTGTCGAACACTGAAGTAGGACATGTATTGTAAGCGTGCTGAGTGATTTTCTTCCAGAAATTCAAGCGTGGCTATCGTTCCCTCAGGCTCTCTCTTAAGTGTTTGTACGGGCGTGCGTGTGTATGTGCAGTGTGTGAAAACGCAAGGCATTCGTGCACTTGACAAGCGTGAAAGTTGGCAGACAAAAGTCTGAAAACAAAATACACCACACTGCATTTTCTTTTTGCTTGTTTCACCAAGTTTGGTTCTGAAGACATCGTAACTGAAGCTCCTGTTTTGAAGTTGTCACAAACAAAGTCAGGGAATGTCAGAGCGCTGACTCAGTGGGTGAAGCTTTCTGGTTTGATGGGGGTTTTTTTTTTTTTCCACACTGTGTCTTCAGACCAAGTGAAACTGGGTTGTGACATGTCCCTGATTATTTAGCCAAACTGTTTTCGCGCTGCTGAAATGTCAGATGTCAGCAGCTCTTGTGATTATTTGTCTCTGCTTCAATTTCTTTTACAGTTCAAAGTGCCATCAGCAACCAGTGCGATAATAACAAATGGTGAGTCCGGGAGGGGGGGGGATTGTTCAGCTAATGATTTTTGTCGCTTGAGAAAACAGAGTGCAAAAGTGACGTGTTTACAAGCTTGACAATTATTAGGGACTATCGTGCTGCTCTTCAGAGACAGTCTCATTCTTTTAGAGACTAAGTGTTTTGACAGAGATATTTGGAAACTTTCAAAACCTCGACAACAAGCTGGGAGGATTTGAGGGAGCTTTGACAAAATCAGGGGGTGAGCACTGCAATCTTTGAACTGCAAGGAAATAAACTGATGCTTGAAGCACTGTCAAGTCAGATAATGATTTATTGATGAGCGAAAGCAAGCACACAAATTGAAACTTTGAAATATTGTCATCTTTGTTTTGCGTTTTTGTATAATAATTGAGGGTTAAAAAGGTTGAGATAAAATTTGCAATATGTCTGAAATATATGATAACTGCCAATTTCAGTTAAATGAAATATATGTACAGAATAACGTAGTTACTATCATAGTTTCATTTGAGAAACTAACCTAAAATCTTGCCTAAAATTCTAATCAACTTTCTGGTTTCCATCTTTGCTTTCTATTGCAAAGTCATGTCTGCCTTGCTGCTTTACATTATCAGACATATTATAGTAATCTAGGCAGCTTTATCTGTAATATTACACAAGCATCATGTGGAGGAGATAATTTGTCAATTTACTGAGTCCAATTTCTGAGTGTGCAGCAGTTTTGATCAGCAATCAACTGAGTATGACCAGAATTGTGTGGCCACGATGTACAGCAGTTTTAATGATTGATGTTGTTTCTGCAACTAGTTTAACTTAAGGAGCAGGTAATCTATAACCTTTACTAATATTTAGTGTTTTAAACTGACATTAGAGAAGAGTGAGCTTGCAAATGATTATTAGAGAAAATCAAGGAAGACTTACCATCACTTGTCCAACAGATGCAAGTGTGAAATACCCTGATCCTGAGGATTATTCACAGGGATTCATCCACTTACACGACATTTTATCAATCTTGTAACCACAGTCGTAGTAATCACCAGAACAAATTGCAGCACATTTTTGTGGGTGTTAGAAGGAAAATTGTTGGCTTATTTATTGTTTCTGAGATATTAAACTGCACCGTGCCACATCAAAACTGCAGATATTTTTGTTTGCTCTGTACTGACGAGGAAAATAAGTTTACAGAACAACCAGTCATAAAAGGATGACATTTTTAGGGGGCTGCGGGAAAGTGTTGGACATGTGGTTGTTTCCAAATACCACTGAGATAAGGCTGGTGTTAAAACGGTGGAGATGTGACCACTGTGTCAAATATGGGCCTTAGTGTTATCAGAATTAATAACTGGCCTGTTGTTATTCCAGATAGAATTGCCTGCTGTTGAGACATGCTGTCATTTTTGTTGCCTAATGCACCAATCATAGATAAACTGGCGATGTCATAAATTATCTTCTGCATTTCTTTGCTACTTATTTGCACAACATTTTCGCTGGCTGACATTGTGTTATTTTTTTCTCCTTCTGTGGCTGTCTTGCAGACGGAATAGGAATCAATCCTGCCCAGACTGCAGGTGAGTTGTTATGTTGATTTGTTGCTCATGTCACAATTGTAATCTTTGAAAAGCTGCTTTTGTTTCCACAGAAATAAGAAAAAAAAAAGTACATTTCGGTTCTATGTCTCCACTAAAAGCCACTCTGGTGGTGTAAGATGTCATTTTCTTTTCCTTCTATTCATTCCTGTTAAGGTGCTTGAAAGCCTAATCAACCTCGAGGCTTTCTTTTATGCTCTTTACCACTTGTCACTGTGCTTTCATCAAAGCATTAATAACCTAAGGCTTTAATAGAGAACTTGAACAAAACACGTTTCATAATGCACTTTGGTTATTCCGGAGGCATTGGTTTAATAGTAGAAAAGATTAATCTGATAAATCCCCCCGAGGCACTTGTCTCTGTGGGTGGTTCCAAAAAGACGGCAGAGAAAAAATACGGCTTAATGTGAAAATCCTTACCTGAGGTAACGTAACAAATTGATCTGGGATCAAGCAGTTCCAGCTAATGTAATTAGGATTACTTAAGCCAGGTTTTAACATTCAAGTTGTTCTTCATGAATATAAATATGGGCTCAAAACAGGGTCAGTAAGATTTTAACGCTGTCAAGTTATGTTCACAAAAAAATCTGAAGTTTGTACCTAAAGGTGTACTGCAGTGGAGGGAACCTGTTTGCTGTCTGTTTGGGCAGTTTGACTCTTTGTGATTCAGATTGAGATGTAAAGACACAATCAAAATTAGCTCTTGGTTGACTTACGACTTCAAACTTTGGACTTTTCACTTTGCTATCTTAAAATGTATTGACTCTAATTTGAGCCCATATGTGAGACGAGGGGAAAACATTTAATTGCGTGTTTTTTGTGTGTGTTTTTTTGACAGATATTACAGTTTGATTTGTGATTGTGTTTTGTTTTGTTTTTGGTTTGCTTTTAAGTCAGGCTTTAGTGCAATCTTTACTGTGTCTTAGATTTAGAACAGCATGTACCACATGAGATGTCATGAAAAGCATACAAAGAGGATGATTTTTTAAAAAATTCACAACAGTTTCAACCCTGTGTCAGACGTGTCAAATAATGACTATCCTAAATGGCAGCCTGTGAAATGTTCTAATTGCTTTGTTTGAATTGGCCATTTTAACCTTAAATCAATGAATCATTGAGCCCTAATTCAGACCATAACAGAGAGATGTGTGATAATAGAAGTCCAAATATTCCAAAGAGGAAAGGCTAAAACAGTTACCACAGCCTGTGATACCCATTGACTGTGAGACGGGCAGCAGTGAAAACCAGTGCTAAAGGCTAAAAGGGTTTTTTTAGGAGGGCAGCAGTGTCATGACTCTCCCTCAGGAAGAATAGTTTTTTGAAAATATTGCTTTGCCCAATAGGTCCCTAACCCACAGATGGTGTAATATAGCATTGTAATGCAAGGTTTTATTGCCACTGGCCATGCTGAAACATGATGCCACATTTATTTTGGTGTTGAGCCTGGTCAGAACTGCAATAATTTCCACCCACAGAGATCATTACATCAGTGCTACAAGGAAAAAGATCATTTTTGGAGGCAAGTTAGAGAACAATCTGAAAGTGTAATTCTCTAACATAAGATTGAGTTACTGAAATGATCCTAATTTACCAGAGAAAATCTTTGGTTTTGAGCAAGAATCTGAGTTATTAGTATGGAAATAGTATTTACCGAAGAATGAATTAAAGTAAAAGGCGTAGAGAAGCAGTATTGAATGTTTGGTGAAATGAAAACGTGACCTCTGACTGGGGGCGAAGTACATGCACCAATCTGTTCAGTCAGAATTCATTTGACTAGAGATTCTCACATTATTGCCCTCGTGAATCACTTTTCCTCTGTGTCAGCCTCCTTGGTGTTTCCCTGAGGTTCGTACTTAATGTGTAGCCCACCTTCTCCTTATGTAAGTCATCATTCTCATCCAAAACCGCTAACGGATGACTGAGTTTTCTGCATAGAGCACTATACGGTAATGCTGGCTTTGACCGAAGGCAAAATTGGGTCTTTTCTGCTAAGAAAAGAAATAGTGGTGGGCATTCACAACATCTTTTTATCTGCGTTACACTCATGCTGTGTGCTGCCAAGAATAGCCTCAGATCAGACACCTCTGTCAGATTGCCTCTTTTCACACACCGCAGCCACTCTGCCTCCTGTTCAGAGGATTGAGTACACAGTGGAGATTGATCTGGTGTAATTTTACAGTGTCTTTTTTTTTTTCACTGGATAAGGACAATACCCCTTTTTTTTCTGTTTCATAATCAGAAAGACACACATAGCCTAACTGCTCTGGGAATGAGTTACACATGGATGAGCCCAGCATGATTGTCGGTCGAATGAGCAAATGAATGAATGAAATTGGTGTCTGTGGCTGCATAATGCAATATTAAAAATTATTCAAATGATTTTGCGCCTTGTGTGCTCATTAAAATCCGTTTTTTTCCCCCTGAATAAATGGTTAATCTAGACAGACAAGCTGAAAATTACCCATCAGGAATATTTATTTTCTATCTGGCATCTCTCTGACTTTGGTTTGAAATCCTTAAAATGAACCCAAATGTGAAAACCCGACTTGTTTGCAACTTTGTAAACAAATTCATGACTCTAAATTAGAGATTGCATGCTTTTGACTATTATTTTACAGTTGAAGCTGATCAGATACCAAATGAGTTGCAGGGAAAAAAAGCAAAAAATTCTCCCCCGACTGGTGTGTTGACATGTTGCTGGCAGCTTTAGTGACAATAAAACCCCTTATTAAAGCGCACCGCTTATAAACTGTGATCTTTATATGGTGCTCTGTCCTGTGTTGCAGGGAACGTGTTTCTAAAACACGGCTCAGAGCTTCGCATCATTCCCAGAGACAGAGTGGGAGGACAGGGAGACTGATGCTGCTTTTCCTCGTTGACGGCATAATGACTCACACAGCAGAATCATATAACACTTGAGACCCAGGAAACACCTCAGCGTGTGTCATATTTATTTTCTGGCCCACAACTGACAGCGACTCGCATGAGCAAATGTATATTGAACTTATCGATGACGTGCACATACATTTGTGTGTCCCCCGTGTCTTCATTCTTAGTCATGTTCACAAGTTTGGAGCAACAGCCACAGAGATACTGAGTAATTACAATACACAACAACAGCGGCATCATTGGAAAGATTTTAGTTGAAATTAACAAACAACTGAGACAACAGTAGCTTTTGTATCTTTGTAAATGACAATAAACTATCAAAATGACTAACAGGACATGTCTGTTTTGCTGTGTGTACTTTTGTTTTACTGGCTTTGCAAATACATCAGTGTTAACTTTTTTCTTTTTTTACATATAGCATTATTTTTTAAGTGGCTGCTGATGGAGGTAATTTATCTGTTCACATGATTTACTCTTTTTTTTTTTTAATGTCAGAAGTATTGCTCAGACACAACATCCTTGTATTATGGATCTGTTCTGAACTTGTATTGTGGACCAGATTCTGTATCTTCAGATCAACGTTTCAAACTATTAAATGGAACTGTGCAGACACATGGCTCTTTGCTGCCCTCTGTCAGGTTACATGTTAACATCAGTTTGCACTCACCCAAACGCCTTCCTCTCTGGATTCCAAGCCATGCATAGTGCTGCTTCACCGAGTGCATGTAGAAAATCTCCACTGACTATGCTTCATTATCAACTGATATTGACAAAAGCAAGGCAGGCATCCAGAAAGCTTCAATTAAACTGCAGAAGCTCCAGAGTGTGTCACAGTAGCTTTCCTCCACAACAATTAACACTGATTTTCAGCTGGGAGATAAATATTAAGTGTTTGCGCTCATTTTTTCTTTTGGTAATTTAAAAACAAAAGCAGTACACAGATTATTTACTTTCATCTTGAGCGTCTGTAAATGACTAAAATGACTAAAGACCAATATGTGGACCAGTTGTTTTCCGTGAGATGAGCGTTATTGTTTCTTAAACTGATTAATGCAACTGAGCAGTTTATTACCCCCTCCATATTAATCATGATCCTTTCAGAAGGTCTGAATCATTTGTTTCTGAATTTCTTCTCTTTCTCCACCCTGGAAGGAAAAAAATAAAAATAAGATGCATGCTTGGTAAAGAAAATAGGCTTGAGAGAATAATGAAGCGTGCATGCTGTAATACACAAGAGAACGCTCACAGTTGTGTCTCACCGTCCATTAGGATGCAGACTCCTATGGGGGAGGAGCAGGAGGGTGATCACAAATGGATTTTTTCATTTATTTTAATCAAAGTCACTGCTGGGCACATTCACCAGAAATTTGTTATCTGAAATGGGAAGACTGCAGAGTACCCAGAATGCAGCAGATGTCAACCATCGCAGTGTTGTAATGGAGGCATTGGTTGCCTAAAATTTGCTTAATTATTCCATATATGCACAATAATCTTTGTTTCAATATGTGCATGAGTGGAAAAAAAAATGAAGTGTTTAAATTCTGTTTGGTAAAGTTCACCATTGGGTGAATGGTCATTTTTTTACATGCTGACTATACAAGAAAAAGGATTACATGGATCTTTTTTTTTTTTTTTTTTTTAAAGCAAGTAACCAGCTCATTTGACATCCTCCGAATGTGTGCTCTTTAAGGCATGAAATTAAAATTTCACACTTAATTAAAGTGGGTGCTACAGTTTAATATTTATGAGAAAGATGGTTTGAAAACGCCTCATAATCACATTACAGGCTGAGCTTTCTGTCCTGAGCCAACAGCAGGATGTCGAGCTGACTGAATCTCCTGCAGGAGGAGAACTTCACTCATAGATACAGTCTGTAGGTTCACCACCATACCAGCAGCAGCATCAGTCCAGGTTCTGCTGTCTCTGCTGTGCACCAGACAGATGTCACATTAGACGATGGTCGGAGAGTTTCCGTGGGAGAAAGTGAGGAGGGAATATAAATGTAGCTGAGGATTGATTCATCATTTTTGATGCTAAATGGAGGAAATGAGAGGAGGTGTTTCAGTAGGTGGACAACTGAGCTGCATTTAACTCGGCGTGAACCACTTGGCCACTTGTTGAAACGCTTGGCTATTTGCAGATTTATTCAGATTGTGTTACAGAGTCTTGATAGAGAGCGAAACGACGTTTGACGCCTCAGTATTTGTTCCAGTGTGATTTACAACTGTGTTTTCTGAAACGGAGACCTGCGGTTGATTGATGCTGATGCATAAGGCGCTTGCAATTCATTTGATGATCACTGATCCTGACAAAAAGCAAACTGATTGATTAGTTTGTCTTGAATCGTGTTAGAGGAAAGGTTTGAAGTCTCCAACCGTGTTTTTTTCAGTCCCTTGATTTGAAATTGGCAGACATGCAGAGAAGCAGGGAACATGACGCTGACATGAGGACGGCAGAGTGCTATTGATTGACTGTGCATGAAGCTGTATATGTGTGTGTTTGAGGGGAACACGATAGTAAATCGACTCCACTTGCCATCAAATGGGTTTTCCCGTGGACTCTTCTGTCTGCTCTTCCCCCTCTATCTTTTCCACTGCTTTATAAATGGCACGTTGAGTTCGCACCTTGGTCTCCCATTAGAGGCAGCCAATCTAAAATGAGATCAGAGACTCGGCGCAGATAAGAGCATCACCGCGGCCACAGGTCAGCGAGCCAGATAAAGAATTGGAGAGGCGAGGCATTGGAGACAGCCTCCCCCCCCTGACAGCCCGTCCAACTCATTTTCACTCCATTCTCACACATCAGTCGCGCAAACATGTGTAACACGCAGCTGTGTGTGCAAACAGGAAGCTGGAACCTCCATCGCCGCATGAACACACCCAGGTAGCATCGCACCCCAGGGATGCTGATAACAAGTCATCTGAGGCGCCACATCAAGATTATTTAATAATGTGAATGACCGAATTCTGCCCCCTTCTGTCATAAATCTAGTACGGCAGCTGGAGGAAACCCCCCTCATGGAGGAGCACAGGCGTGTTTGGACCGTTCTCTTCCTCAGCTGAACATCCAGCAATTAAATCTTGATTGAGAATAGATATTGAGGCACCCTGCATATTTAGACACGCTGCAATTGATCTCATTCAGCACACATCCCTGCCAGAAGTCTCTCTTTTTTTTTGTTTTTTATCTAAGCATCTGATGTCCTTGAGGCTAAAATGAGACAGATAATGGGCTCTAAAGTGGGGCAGGGTTATCTGTTGGTTTTCAGATATTAAAATACACCCAGTGCCAGGTTTTTGTCTTTCTCAGTGATACATATTTTTACATAAAATGCTTATCAATGTTTGCCATCTACTGCGTGTTTGAGACGAATAATTAGTCATTTTTATTTTCATATAAACTGCACTTTTTTTTGTGTGATTTTTGACTTAACACTTGTGGTTCTCAAATGTGAAGACATTTTTAAATGACAAGAATACTGATATCCAACCATCATATTTAAAATAAATAAATAAATAAAAATATCGACATGTCATCTTACATTGGTTCTTATACAACAGATACAATCACAACACTCCTGTACTCTTCTAGTTGTGCGCTATAGATGATACAAAGCTTAAAAAGCAGCAGTGAAATGTGTGTTAGTGTCTGTAAGTATTGCTAATATTAACCAATAAGACAATGTACTGAATTATTTTTACCGGCAATGAAGATATGTGAAGCATTACAATAACGAATTCAAATAAATGTATTCAGTACACTGTAGGGTTAATCTAGTGACAAAAATACACTGTGATTTTACAGCACCTGTATTGTTCAAAAATAAAATTGCACAAGTTTTAAAAACCTTTGAAAGTTGTCTAACTAAACTGTTTTTCTGCTTTAAGTTAAGTGCTCTCCTAAATCTGTTGAGGCAGTCCTACAGCTAATCTTTTATAATCCCCTTTTTCTTTCTATCTCTTCTCTCCCTGCACCAACTTTCTGCACTAATGTGTAGAAAGGGCTTGTGGGAGTATTAATAAATCACTTGGAGAGTGTATTTTAAGGACACAACAGCCGCTGGCTGAGTTCTGTGCGTGCTATGTCCATACAGCTTGGTCAAAACAGAAAGAGCACATCTGAGCTTTAGTCTTACTTTTCCAACAGCAGCTCATTTAGGCTCAGTGATAGCACGCTGGGAGTGTGTGCAGTCAGACTGATATACTATAATTTAGAGCTCCACAAATACTTTTGACTGGATTGGACACTCATGGTGCTGAGATAATGAATCCTTTGGTCATCCCCTGACTTTTTCTCCAGCACAACCATTAGACTTTTTTGGTGAAATGTCTTATTGAGTGAATGGAAACTTGATACACTTTTATTTTTTCCTGCAAATAAATCTGCAAAATTATTCGTACAGTTCCGTTTTGCCTCAGACTTTTTTTGTTTGTTAGTTTATAATAAATGCAAACCCAAGATACTAAATATGGTAAAAAATTATATTAAATATAATGATGCAAAATTGTCTTTGTGAGCATATAATTGTACTAAAGTTGGCATTTAGCTTGAAGAACTGCTGCTGTATACCCTAAAAGAGCCAATACTAGTTGACTAGTGTTGCATTCAACATTTGATAAGTGATTGTCATAAAAAAAAAAAAGAATGGTAATGATACCAAAGACTACTGCTACTGCTAACAATGATAAGACTTCCAAATGCTTCTTCTACACATCTTGTATCATGAGGAAAATCATTATGAGCTTAGGATGAAACCAGATCCAAAAGTAAATACTTTCTTCTATAACCTAGAGCTTATATTTTGGGATCGGCACAGCCTCAAACAGAAATCTTTTACGTCCAAATCCGTTGGGAAATTATCCAAGTATCACTGAAAACTTAACTTTAACAAATTTTTAGAAAGTTTGCTCTGAATACTTCTATTCTTATTGCTCACATTCATCTATAAACATGACTGGCTTAGTTACCAGGGGGGCAGCTCTGATCCTACACATGAAGTTCAGTTTATCTGTGAACAAGATTATTCAGCCTGTGAAAACAATTGTATGATATCATCTGTGGTTCTGGAGAGAGATAAAGACACAAACTGAAGGTGTGGGTTTGTTTTTTTTTTCATGCAGCGAGATGCTGAAGACGTGCCTAAGTGGCTAAATCCAACATTCATCACCGCCTGGTAAAGTTGTTCCCACTGTGGGAGGCTCAGCTCTCTAGAGTGTCAGAGGTGGGAGGCTGTGAGGTTAAGCAAGGCAGGTCATCCTCTGTCTTGTGAATTTTGCTTTGTGAGTGTAGATTAGTTAGATCTCTACATGCTGGACAGCTCTGAGTCATCAACATTAAATTAAAATGTACTTGTAGCAAAACCTTGAGGCAGTGTTGTTTATTGTGGACATCAAATGTATTGATTTTTATCGCTTTGCAATGTGTCTTTTTGTTTTAGAAGCTATTCCTCATCTTTCACTTCTGCTTCTCCCTCTGCAGTGCAAGTTCATCCAAAGTACTACAACTTTCACCCAACTGAGTGTGTTTGCCACACAGCTACAGTGAAATCTAATGTGACTGCTGATAAGATAAAAGCATTAAAGTCACTGCCTTGAGCAGTCTTTCTTCAGT